AGCAATAAACTGTCTTTTTCCTTTTTCTAAAAAAAAAAAAAAAAAAGTCATAAATGCCCAAGTTGATAAACCTGCCTTAGAGGATCATGGTAATGACTGCAGTGTTCACAGGAACCGAGAACACTCAGGTGCAAAGCCCTGGAGGGGAAGTGCGGTGACTGGTGACCGGTCTGTCAGCCCTTGGTAACACTGGGCCATGCTGTGTTGAACTTGGCACGTGTCCCTGCCAAGTGCAGGAGTCTATTAGAGGACGTGTGACAAGCTGATATTTACCCTCCTCATAATAGGAGGAGGAGGAGGTGCTTGTCAGGGCCTTTTAATCAGACCTCATTGGTATGCTAATGAATCCTCCATGGAGTAATTGTCTTATGTACTGTTTTGTAAGACCACTGAAGTTTTTCCGGTCCCAGGAGAATTATCAGCTAACTTCATTCAAAAGTTCACACCATCTTTATAGAGAGAGTAAACATTTCCTCCTCTGTAAAAAGTCCACATGACAAGATGAGGGCATGCTGGTCTTTGTCCTACAACCTCTACAACAGAATGACCCGAAGAGCTTTGGAAAACTCCAGGATTCTAGGATAGACTCCTGGCGATTTGCGGGTTGGAGGTAGAGGCGCTTCGGAGTCTGGACTTTTTTTTTTTTCCTCCAAAACTTCACAAAGTTATGAGTAACTGGGTTTCTGAGCCACTGGACTCAATGAGTGATAGGACCTTGTTACAGTTTGGATGGAAGGTGTCCCCCAAAAGCTCATGTGCGAGACAATGCAAAAAGGTCCAGAGAAATGACTGGGTTGAAATAGTCTTAACCCAATCAGTGAATTCATCCCCTAATAGGAATTAACTGAGTGGTAACAGGTGGTAGGGGGTGGTTGGAGGAGGTGGGGATTGAGGTGTGGTTGGGGGGTATATATTTGTATCTGGAAAGTAGATTTCTTTCTCTCTGCTTACTGATCGCTGTGTGAGCTGCTTCACTCTGCCCATTCTTCCTCCACAATGTTCTGCCTCACTGTGAACACCCCCCCCCCCAGGAATGGAACCTTCTGTCTATGGATTGAGACCTTTGAAACTGTGAGCCCTCAAATAAACCTTTCCTCCTCTTAAAAAAAAAAAAAAAGAAAAGAAACAGTTCTAATTTAATCAGTGATCTCATTTCTGGGTCCCTGGAGTACTCCAAAAAGCCCTGATCTTTTTCTCTGGCAGGCAGATGCAGCATTTGCTGACTTAACTTGCCTGTTCCTTCTCAGAAACAGCAGGTTTAACTCTTTCTGCCCCTTAAAGGAAGTACTTCCACCTGGCATGGGGCTAAACCCCTGTAATCATGGCCACTCTGGGGCTGAAGCAGGAGGATTCCAAGTTCAAGCACAGAGCTCTGGGCAGTTCTCACCCTCCTTCACCTTCTCCAGCAGGCCCAGCTCCCTCTCCCCGAGTGCTTTGCATAAGCAGATCCCTCAGTTCTCTCCAGTGCTGTTGCCAGCTCTCGGCTCCTTTGTCACCTCCTCCTGATCCAGCCAGGAATCATCCTTTAACTCTCATTTCTACAAACATACACACACCTAAAGGTCCCCGTTCCTCCAGAACCATGACCACCAGTCATGCAGGCCATGACTGTGTCCTCATTGCCCAGCCTAACCAGATGCAGATCTTAGCCAGGTTCCAGTGTCTCCCTTAAGCTCTGAGCATCTGTTAGTAGCCCTCTGGGTCGATTAAGGAAGTCCAAGATCTTACAGGGCCTGAGGACTAGGGATGTCAGGGCCCCCAGGGCTCTTATTCCCATTATCACAAACCTCCCTCACAACCACATGCTGGAGGGTCAGACCACAGTGGCTTCTCATCAGCACTCCGAGCATGGACAGACATGGATGAGTCCCTCTCCCCACCCTATATTTGGGGCAAGATAGGATCTGGTTATATCTACTTCAGCCATTTTATGTTTTTAGGCAAAGCTTATTGAAGAGCAGGAAATCATAATGAACAGCAGGTGTCTTATATAATTAATTTGGTGCTGGGAATCAAACCCTGGGCCTCAAGTATTCTAAGCACATGCTCTACTATGGACTTATACCCCCCAATTCTACCTTTTTGCCCCTGTGGTACCGGGGATAAACCCAAGGATGCTCTCCCTTGAGTCACATAGCCCCACCCTTTTCATTTTTTATTTTGAGACAGGGCTGACTAAATTGCTGAGGTTAGCCTCAAACTCAATGCTCCTGCCTCAGCCTCCCAAGTCACAGGGATTACAGGCATACGCCACCACATCCAGCTTCTAGCATGTTTCCAAATAACCCGTTTCCATGCATGGCTATAATCCCAGTACTCTGGAGGAGTCTGAGGCAGGAGGATGGCAA